AGCTGTTGGCATTTGCAAAGGACAGAGTCCCAGTTTGTTGTTTTCCATCCCCACTGAAAGAGGAATGGTCCCAGGTTCTTCATGAAGCTCTGCTGTGTGGGGCTTCTTGATCCAAAACACAGTCATTTACTCTCATTTCTAGAAAACTGCATGGAAACCTCCTCAGTGCTAGGGCACTGAGCAGATATATTTAGAGTTTTACGGCTGCTCTAAATCAGAATTAAGGAGCAGGTAGCCTGACCAATTTTCACTTTCCTATTTCCTCCTCATAAATTCTAAAGTGATTCTTATCATAGGGAAGCTGACATTTTAAGAATAGTAATTTTTTTACATCCATGGCAGATAGGTCTCTTTGAAGTTTTGGTGGAAAGCCTTCCTTCCAGCTATGGTTGTCAAAGTCATAGTGTAGGGGCCTTGTAGGTATATTGAGTGCTTGGAGACGGGCAGGAAAGGAATTTGCTGGGCACTTGACTGTGCCGTGAACTGTGCTAAGCTCTTCAGAGGCAGCATCTCCTTTAATGATCACAATCACGGTACAAGGGAGGTTTCATCATTATTTTCTTCTAGATAACGAAGCAGAGGCGCAGCGAGATTCAACCACTTGCTTGTGGACACAGAGCTAATTGATCCTGAGTTTGAACAGAGGGCTGTCAAGCTTCAATGCCTGTTCCTAACCACGATGTAGGCTACATTCCTCTGTGTTGCTCTGGTTCATTTGTTTTATTTTTTGCCAGATCAAGCTATGTGTTAAAACTACCCCCCCCCCCCCCCCCCACAAAGTGATACAGTGCCCTCATACGCTTTGGCAGCTACAATTTTTCAGGCCAGAATGATGACATGGTTGTTTCTGATTTTTCAGTTGGAATGTTTGGCAAAGAAATGCTATTTCCTCTGTTGAATCTGATGGTGTTGTTGAATACAGCCTCTTTCATTTCAGCTTCATTCAGAACAGACAAAAATCAATTCCTGCTTACCTAAAAAATAAAGTAACGTGCTCCACCGGGGGGAAAAAAAAAGATCTCAGGTTCCATGTTATTATTCTGAATAATGACAAAAGCAGGGATGGTGCTGAGCCTCTTGTAATTGCTGTTTGGGGTTTCCTTTTTTGCTTTCTTTGTGGAGAAGAAAAAAATTCTGATTTGCAGACTTTTTTTTTTCCAGCTGCGCATATAGTCACTCTTAAAAGCCTAGGGATCTAGCTTAAAATGGCTTGTAAAGCATCTTGAAAGGACTAGGTTTTTGTTTTTGTTTTTTGCACATCTGAACTCCATCTAACAGTATTGGTGCAACTTTACCTGGAAATGCCCCCAGGACACTGGGTTCAGGAGCCCGCCAGGTGGCCGACATTCATCCTTTCCCTCAGTATCCTGGAGGCACCCGGAAGGCCAGGACAAGCCCGGACCCACGATGTTGCAAGGACAGCTGCATGCAGACGCGAGGCAGGGGTCCCGTGGGCAGCACCCTCCTCCTCTCTGAACCCCGAGGCCGCCACCCTCCTCCAGGAGCGACCCGTCCCCCTCAAGGCTCCCCCCCGCCCCCGAGGCACAAACCTCCTCTCCCGTTTACTTTATCCTCGTTATTGGAGGACTTTATTTTTATGTCTACCTTGCCAGCCGCAGAAAACAAACGACAACAGTGCTTCCGATTGTCTCCACACCCGCTCCCCCTGGAGCAAACCCCACCTGCAGCCACCGTCTGCGAGACTGCTCTGCGTGCAAATGTTTCCAACAGACCTCTGAAAGGCAGCCACTTGCCCAGCCACGCGACTGCTTTCCCGCAAACACTGCGATTTCAGATTTTAACTGCAGCCCCTTGATTGGACATCAAAAGTCCATAAGTGGGTTTCCCTGGTGGCGCAGTGGTTGAGAGTCCGCCTGCCGATGCAGGTGACACGGGTTCGTGCCCCGGTCCGGGAAGATCCCACATGCCGCGGAGCGGCTGGGCCCGTGAGCCATGGCCGCTGAGCCTGCGTGTCCGGAGCCTGTGCTCCGCGGCGGGAGGGGCCACAACAGTGAGAGGCCCGCGTACCAAAAAAAAAAAAAAAGTCCATAAGTGAGCGTTTGAAATGGCATCTCTAAAAGGCAAATCTACCCATTTCAAGCGCTTCCGCAGCGTTGTCCGAGAACCGCACTGGTTTTGTTAGGCAACAAGTTAGCCATGAGCAACGAGAGGTGGTCCCCTCGGCGGAAGGTCCAACAGCCACCTAATCCCGCCAAGCTATTTTGCCAACCCCGCCCCAAACACGACCCCATCAGTCCTCCAAAATGGTCAGGGTACCGAAACCACCACCCCCCCACCCCCGCCGGCTGACTGGAGGGACGGGCCTCACTCTGGCACATGCGCACATCTCAAGCTATCACGTCCTCAGATAACCTTTGGGCTCATTAAATGTTCATAAATATTCTATGAATACATACATCTAATTATAACAGACTGCATTATGGGAAGAACATGCACAGCCGAGCCTCTTGTTATATAACCTGCAGCTGTCAATTAAGACTATCAATCAACGACCTCCTGGATTACGGCAAAAACCTTGCCTAAAAAGCTCTACACCCCAGTCCTTGGGGGCCATTGCCTTCCTTGGCCTGGCCCACCTCTCTTTTGAGGTGTTCTCTCTGTTCTCTCCTTATCTTCAGTAAACTCTCTTGCAACGGTTAAGACCTCAGATTCTTCTTTGCGTCCTTACCAAGAACCAAGGCCCATGGGAGAAGGGGTCTCCAGACTCTCTTCTGCTAACAGTGTTTACCAATTTTTGAAAATTCGCTTGCACCACCCCTAGGAAAACACTCTGGTGGGTAGCATTAGTTATTCTTCACTTTAATAATCACCTTTTTCAGATACTTACAGAGAATCTGAGCCTCGCAGCAGCCAAGAAGAAGAAGAAATAGAAAAGGAAAGACAGTGGGGGGGACATTCGGTGAAATCTCGCCCCTACCCCACACGGGTCCATGAGGCACAGGGAGGGGCAGCTGAACACTCCCCTCCCCTCCCCTCCCCCGGCCTCCTCTGCAAGCGCCTGGTCTCATCCTTTCAACTTTAATAAACCAGGACCTCAAGGATTTCAGATCTGAAAATCTGCAAGGAAGGGGCTTGCATCCAAGTGGATCACCCTTCCTGGGGGAGAAAAATGCAAGAACTGGAAGCTACTCCTTCCAGGAAATATTTGTGAACCACTTGATATGCGCCCGGCCCTGTGAGAGGTCACGAGACAGGCCCCCCTCGTGCCCTGCTCCCCACCATCCCCTCACACTTTCCCATCTTTCCACAGGAACCTCAGCCCTCTTTGAGGCCAAAATCTCTCACTTTAAGAAGCCCTCGGAGGTTCTAGAAAGAGCAACAACTTCAAAATCAGACTGATCTTGACTTCAGTAAAAGTTCTGCCTCTTTGTAGCTGTGGGTGCTTGAAAGAGTAACTTAACTCCACTAAACCTCAGTTTTCTCATCAGTAAAATGGGGAGAATATCTACTTCATAGGATTATCATGAGAATTAACAAGATAACATAGCAAAGAACATAGCCCAGGGTCCAAAGCCAGTAAATGTTCAGTAAATATTAGTTTCCTCATTCTGGCCCCTTTCCATTTTCTGGTTTATTCCAAAATCCTCTGAACAGCACCGGACTTGAAAACCTACCTTCCTAATTCACCCAAGCTGCTGTACTAACACCGCAGAAGCCCAGCTCTTACTTCTCTTCACCTCGACATTGACTTCCTGTTACATGCACGTAGGTATAAGAGTTTGTGTTCCTCTAACCCTGGTAGCCAGTGTACTAGTCAGGATTTTTTTAGTGCAAGAGACAGAAATCTAATTTTTCAAACATGGTCTGGAAGAGCATTGATTCCCACCACCGAGAACTTATGTCCTGGCTTATCCAGGGCCCTGTAATGTCACCCAGCTCTCTCTGGCTCCATTTCTCATTCTGCTTTCCTCTGTGGAGCAGCCTCCTCTCCCACTGCAGATGGCCTGTCTGATGGGTGGAAAAGATGGCTTTCCGAGGCCCCGGAATCTCATCCTCCCAGCGTACCGACCTCCATAAAAAGAGGATGCATCACCCACAGTGCCTACACACCAACTCCAGGGATTTGCCCCAACTGGCCCTGTGAGAGTCACATCTTTGTACAACTGAGGGGACAGGCAGGTCACAGTGGCTGGGGCTTCTGGTGGAACCTCAGGGCAAGAAAGGGTTGTCATGACATTCTGGAGGGCACATGCCCGCTGCAGCCAAGGATCCTGGGCCCAGCGACCCAGGGCCCTACCCCTGGAGCATTAGACAAAGCCCGGCCTGACTGGGGTCTGTAATGGGAGTCAGGGGCGGGCTCCCCACCTGACCCTCCCTTCGGGGCAGGGGTAGAATCTAAACCAGGCTTTCCACGTAATCCATAGAAACTTCGGGTCCCAGAATGGGACAAGGCAGGTTTCCCCAGCATCTGGCCTCAGGAGATCAAGCTTAGGAAAGTGTGGAAAGGAACAGCAGAGCTACCCAGGGCCACTTGAGCACCTGGTCGAATGCAAGAAGTACTAAGCGCCATGACCTTGACCCTCTGTGTGGCTCAGAGCTTTGTCTTGCTGGACCAGAAATGAAGAAGAGTGAAACTGGAACATGGCAGCTAACTCAAGTCTTTCAAGGGTTCCCATCACACTGACAAAGCACTTCCGGCCTTACATTTATCTGCTCCCAGGACACACACACACACACAGACACACACACACGCACACACACGCGCGTGCGCACACGCCAGGTGCTGTGGTGAGGACGGTTACAGGGAAGTGTCTGCAGAGAACAAGAGGGTTGTTTGGCCTTTACTAGATGCCTCTTATCTGGGCATCACAGGAATACTTTTGAAATATTTAATTAGGTCACAACATGTCTGTAAGGAAGGTATTATTATTCACCTTCCCCAACTGAAAAAACTGAAACAGAAAGTTCAAAGCGTTCCCAGGAAGTGGGATTTCCAGTAGCGTGACGGTCACAGATTCTGAACGTGGCCACCAACTCACCTCTTCTCCTCTCCCGCGGCCGTGAGTGCGCCTTAGCAGCCGGAGGTCTAAATCCACATGGTTTAAGCTGGTAAGTCCACACAACGCTGGATTCCTAAAGAGGAGGAGAAATTTTAAACATAAAAAATATTGTTAGCTTAATCTCACCCACTTGTAGAGGTCATTGAATCCATTTCTCACCCTAGTCCTGGCCTGCAATGTTTTCTTTGAATATATCAAGGCACAGGGAACCATCCCCAGGAAACACTGGTTCCAAGACCAGACACCAGCAATTGCTGGAACACCCCATGTCTTATTAAGTTCGAATTAGTCCCTTCCTAACTCTGTGCGCTGCGTCTGTTTTTGCCCGTTGGAGTCCATTCATGTTTGCTTCCTTCCTTTCTATCTTCCAGCTATTACTGATCAAGAAGCTACTCTGTGCTGTTTAAATTGGCTTGAGCACCAGGACACAGCACTGGAGAGGAGAGAAGGGCCCTTGTGTCACGGGGATTATAGTTTGATGGATAAAGAGAAAAAAAAGAAAACAAATGAACAAAAATTTCAACTCGTGCTAAGCCTTATAGAGGAAATGAAACAGGATGATGAGATAGTGTGGGCCCGGGAGGAGGGGCTTTCTATGAGGGGTTATGAAGGGCTAAGGCGACATATGACCTGCAACGTGAATGTTCCTGGAATCACACAGCATATTTCCAGCCCTCTTGCCTCGGCCTCTGCTCATATTTGAAGACAGATACCGTGACACTCACGCACGCATGTGTAGGCACATGTAGGCACGCAGACACAGCTGTCTTCTTTCCTCTTGGTTAAACATCGATATTCCTCTATCATTTCAAATGTATAAATCTGTCCATCAGTGTTGCTCTTAAAATATAGTGTTCAAAACTGGAGAGTCCACTTTAAATTTGGTCTGACAGACAGGAGGGGTGGATCCATGCACTCACTCTCTTGTTCTGGACTCCATCCTGCCATTAACTAGACTTCTGTGCTTCCAGACATTGGGGTGCCAAAGTCGCAATCGGCTTTGACAACCTGTATTCATTAGTCTTCCCATTAAGCTCTCAGCCAACGAAGTACAGGAAGTCTAGCACATGCGCTGTTGCCGAGTGTCATCACTAGTATCCTGTCACTTTGTCATTTTGGGTGGGGAGGGGTAGTCAAGAGGAGGACCTGGGTCCCACCCTTTTTCTGTTAAAGCCATTTTGCTACCTGATTAATATTTTCTTTTCTTTTTTTTTTTTTTTTTGGGTTCGGCAGCCCTCTCACTTTTGTGGCCTCTCCCGTTGCGGAGCACAGGCTCCGGACGCGCAGGCTCAGCGGCCATGGCTCACGGGCCCAGCCGCTCCGCGGCATGTGGGATCTTCCCGGACCGGGGCACGAACCCGCGTCCCCTGCATCGGCAGGCGGACTCTCAACCACTGCGCCACCAGGGAAGCCCGAGATTTTCTTTTTTTTTAGTGCAGATATTGTCATTAGGATTTTAACTGAATCTACATTTCACTCTCAGATTTGATAAGCATGATACCAACATTCAGATCCAACTCATGATAAAAACATCTCCCAGGAGGGGACGGGGAAGGACTGTGGACAGTCAAGCAGTTATCAACCCAACTAAAATATAATGAGCCAGTCCACAGAAAAGAGAAAGATGCAAGACACCTGCTGAAATCCAAATACACTTATACATTCATTCAAGACCCAGCGAACAAAGAAAGAAGGTCATTGTGGCATTAAACCGGTGCTGAGTCTTGAATTTGAATTCTCAAAGACTCTCCTTTTGAAACTCTGTTCTAAATACGTGTTCTAGAATCTTGCCTATTCTATATATGGGCTCACCAGTTTATGGAACACATATTTTTATTTTCCCCTTGAAAATTCCAACTTTAATCCCTGGATCATGTTCCAGGATCCCCCAGAGGTTGCTGACAGCGCTGCTGCAGTTGAAAATGAAGGTTTTTTCTCAATGTCCTAAGACGCAATCCATTTGGGGCCAGAGACTTAGAAACTTAGAACCCGTAACAGCCTCACTTTTACAATCATTGATCTAATGTTGGGTTCTTTTTATGGTCATCAGTTCCCCCATTTCCAGTAAGATTCTCATCCCTAAAAAAAATTGAGGTAGAAAATAGGAATTGAACACTTCTCCATTTATTGCTTTTCGTGTATCGTTTTTGTTGTTCATACCTTTTATTTGAGGATATAGAGAAGTTCCCCAAGAGTAAAGCGGAAAGTGATAGAAAGGAAACCTATATAATAAATGAAAGACAAATACCGCACAATGTCAGTCATATGCGGAATATTAAAAACAAAGTGAACAAACCAAACCAAACGAAAACAAACACATAGACACAGAGAACAGAGTAGTGGTTGCCAGAGGGGAAGGGGCAGGGGGATGGGCGAAATGCGTAAAGGGGGTCAACTGTATGGTGATGGATGGAAACTAAATTTTTGGTGGGTATACAGAAATAGACATATAACGTTGTACACATGAAACTTGCATCATGTTATAAGCCGATTTTTAAAAAATCTTTAAAAAAGAAAAAAATGAGGTTTTACACCTATCTTTTTAGGATATTCTGAAAATTAAATTTCTAAATTCATATGTGCCTGGTCTAAGCACTATGGTAAGAAATTTCTTTAAGCTTCAGATGACATTCTCTTTCACACCCAAGGTTTTTATCATTACAAAGTATTCCCTCTTTGATCTGAAATAATTCCACAGCAGCAATATCCATTGTTGCTTCTTTTAACTTCCTAGAAATAGAACTGTCGCCAAAACAAGTGGAAAATCTATCGGCAGCTCTGTTTTCACTGAGTGAGGGGTCCAGCCGAAGTCCGGTTATTTCCAGCCCTCGCTTGTGATTCGCTCTTTCCCCTAAGTCTGTCTTGGGGTTTGTATCGGGAACACGTGATTCACTTCCTGCCTCAGACGGGGTGGGGGGGGGTGGGGGGGGATTCCACACGGACAAGCAACGCCCCTTCTCCTTTAAGCTTGACTGAGAAACCCTCCATCTTGTGAAGGGGACATTCTCAAAAGGAGGAAGTCCTGCTTCAGTCACCTTTTTGCAAGGGCTGCTGATCTTATGATCAATCCCATCACCAGGAAAGGAACTCAAATATGGGTTGCGCCTACCTAATTAGGTATGTCCCCCAAACAATATATAAAGTATGCTTTTAACTCGGGGCTTTATAAAGACCCTACAGTCATGTTGATGATATATATATATATATAGTCAAAATACTGGTTAATACACCAGTATTCAACAATACAGAAATAAAATATTAGAAATATGTATCATATATATGCTATTTTCTGAATGCTGCGATTGTTCTTAAGTGAGTTGAAATGCAACTGAGGTCATAGAGTAAAGTTCCACTTGTCTCCATGTTTAGATGAGGTTATTTGAAGAAAAGAAGGAGACCGAAAAGAGGAAGCAGAGGAGTAAGGGGAGGGCTGATATTTCGGAGGACCTACTATGCTGCAGGTGTTTTTGACACCTCGTTGTACTTTATGTACATGTGCACACATGACGAAACAACTCTTATTATTACCCCATTTTACATCTGAGAAAACGGGAGCTCAGATGAGCTCAAATAAGTGAAATGATGAAATTAGTAAAAGGCAGAAAATGGACACAGAATGAGTCTCACCCTTCTGGCCAAATAGGGGAGGATTCAGGGTCACTTTCAGCCTCGAAGGTGTGCCCAGGAATCTGCTGCAGCACAGTGACAAGCAGGGGTGAAGAACGGCAAGTCAATGGAGATGATGAAGGACAAAGAAACTGCTAAACGTTTCTCCCTGCTAATCAACAGAATCAGTATGAGAGGAGACACCTGTCGCCAATGGAAAGATCAAGGCTGCCTGTCTCTCCTCACTTTCTGCTTCTCTCCCTTCATCAGGCTGTGACGCTTTGCTCCCTTCTAGATCACAGCCTCTGGAAATGTGCCTGCATCCTCAGGCTCCTTAATGCAGCCGCCTGCCTTCCCGCCCGCCCGGGTCCCGGGTCCGTTGCCCCTTGTCCGTCGCTGGCGGCGCCCCCAGAGAGGGGGCTTGGCGCTGGGGAGAGGGGCTGGGGGCACGCGGCCGACGTTCACCGGCTCCTGTACCAACCTTAAGCGGGAAGAGTGTGTCACCAGATGATAAAATGCTAAACGACAACTCATTTTCATTCTGCGGAACAGATTTGTTGAATATTTCATTCCTGTCACCTGCTCCTTTTCGGGCCACCGTCACACGGCTGGAAGGGCTCCCGGGGAATTGCGTGGCCCGCCACACGGCTGGAAGGGCTCCCGGGGAATTGCTTGAAAGGTTGGCGCCTGCAGCGAGCGTGGGTCCTGACGCTCGGCTTTCCGGCGTGGCCCCCGGGCGCCGGCTCCGTTGGTGTCTCAACGCTGCCCTCTGCTGGGCGGAGGCCCGCAGCCACCGAGCGGCTGAACGGAGAGGGGCCACCTACGCGGGAAGGGAGACGGCGCCAAGGGGTGTGTAGCTGTATACAAGGGGGCACAGCAGAAATCCACCGCCTTCGAGGGCATCGGACCTCACCGGATGGATGCTCAGCTGCTCTTTCTTTCCGCTGCGCGGCCGCTGCCACCCGCTTCCAGGCTGTCAGTACACAGATGAAGAAAGCCACTGTCGCCGAGGACTTTCCTGCCTGAAAGAGATTTGCTTGTGGAACGAAGATACGTGTGAGTTGGAGGAGTGGGGGAGGGTTGCTACTACTAGGAAAGAGCGAAAAAACACCTGGGGCGTATATACAAGATTTCCAGATTCAGGGTCCCTTGATAAACCACACATTCACCCCAGCTGGGAACCACCATCCCCCGCAAGGAGCACTCCCTGAGGGGACCCAGCCCCGCCCGCCTGGCCGGCTGCTGTCCCCGCCCTTCAGGCTGCGTTCCTGGCACTATTCCCCGTCAGTCACCCCAACTTGCCCCTCCCCCGCCAGCTCTCTCCTCCCCAAGTCCATCCTCCACTCAACCCAAGGAAATCTACATAAAATGACTCAATTAACATAAAGCTCCTCATACAGTGCTAGGCGTGGGGTAAGCACTCAAGAAATTTTAGCTAGAAATTTAGTTATCTCTGATCAGCCACTTCCTGCCCAGTGAATGCTTTAAGGGGCTCCCCACGTATGTCAGCGGGCCTCTGCCTAGCTCTCTGCTTCCTCTTCAAGCATCTCCTCAAGCTTTACAAACCAGCGATGGAACCCCTGGGGCTCTCCCGTGCACACCCTGTGTCTGATCTCTGCCAGTGGTAGTGCCAATCCCTTTACCTAGTAGACCCTCTCCTGGCCCCTTCATCTGTATTGATCCAGACTCAAGCCTTCCTGAAGGCCTCTTCTCCTTCAGGAGTTTCCTAAGTGTCTGCTTAGGAGTCTGTCTGCCCTCTGTGTATGAGCTTCTTGAATTCCAGGACTGTCTGAGTCATCTTTCCATCCCGTACAGCCTGCACAGTACATGGAGACACTTGAGACTCACCAGATGTTCATTGCATGAGTGAATGAATGAAGGCAGGAAAGAATGTACACACCAGAGGGGGTCCCAGAAGCACCTACCTGCCCCAACCATCTCCTTGTACCTGCCAACTCAGAGCCTTATGACTTAATCTGCTCCTGTGGTGGTTGGGAAGGACACCGCATCACCTCCTGGGAGGCTTTGGCCAGTCAAGTTCACCTGGACCTTCAACTTTTTAAATTAGATGATGCTGGCCACTCCAAGCCTAGCTACCCGTGAGAAGGGAAGTGATTTTTGGAGGAGAGGAGAGAGAGGTTCTGGAGACTTGGGAACTTGGCAGAGGACAGGTCTGGCAGGAGTACAAGAATTGAGACCCAGGAGAGAGCTATTAGGACCCTAGGCACACAAGGAAAGAAGAGAGTGTGGGAGCTCCGCAGAGGGGCTTAGAGGAGAGGAAAATTGCCTGAGTCCCTTGTACGTGCCAAGTGCCGTTCATATCACTCCTGAACCCCATGCCAACCATAGAAGTTCACGCTTCCCATTTTCTCAATGGGAAATTGAGGCTCAGATAGATTTGTTTCCATACCTGAGGTCACACAGCAACTAAGTGACAGCCCTAAGATTCAGACCCGGGCTCCATGACTTTAAGCCTATATTTTCGCATTACGTTAATGTTTGCTCTGCTTTGAGAAGAAAGGCCAAAGCACCTGGCACCTAGCAGGAACTAACCTCCCACCTCCACGTGAAGTGGTCTAGCACTTCTAAAGATCATTCTCCTCTCCATCTTGGGAGTACCGGTGGATTTCTCCACCTCTGAAACAGGCCCCCTTGAATATTAAGGGTCACCTATAATTCAGACCCCTTCATACCTCCCAGTCTGGGCAAGTCCTAGGTCTGATGGGGAACAGTAATTGAAGAGTCTCATTTCCCATCTTATATAGGCGAGGTCCACTTTCATATACCCCACGTTACTAGGAAATATGAGATGCTACTTCATTCACCACGTTCAGTCCCTGTGTCACACTTCCTTAGGCATCAGTAGGATTAAATAGCGTTGATTAAAGAGATCTAATCGACTATTAGTCTTTAGAGAAGAAACCCAAGCTCACAAATCTCTGTACTTTGGTGTTTCAGGGAAACCCAGACTTGTGTCTCAACTGTATTTCACAAAATGGTGCTGCAGTGAACCAGGAGCTTAGAGCTAAGAATCTGAGAGGAAGACGACTTTATTCGGAAAGCCGGCAGACCGAGAAGATGGCAGACTGAAGTCTCAAAACAACCATCTTATCGGGGTTTGGATGCCAGTTTCTTTTATAGCACAGAGAGGGGGAGGAGATGAGGAAGTAAAGTAAAAACCATAAGTTTTGCAAATATCGCCTGGAATGGCCAGCCTCGGGGAGCGGATGTGTTAATTTCTTCTTTCTTGCAGCCATCCACAGGTGGACAGGGTTTCCCTGAACAAAGGCACTTTGGTTTAGCTTTCAGGCAGAGGGGCAGGGTGCCCCGAGGCAGGCCATTATGTAGAGACAGTATCCTTTTCCTGAACAAAAGCAGCGGAAAGCAAAGGTTAAAGTGAAAGAAACAGATCCAACATATAATCAGATTTGGCCCTTCCCTGTTACAATGTCAGCAGGGGAAATCAAATCTCAAGTCTTCGACATCAACATCCACTGAATTCCACACGCATCCCACATGACCCTCCGGTGATACCATACCTGGCAAGAGTCAGAAATAGCAGCCTGAGAGCAGTGGTTCTCAAACTTCGGTGTTCATCACAATCACTTGGAGGGTCATTAAAATGCAGACAACTGTGCCTCAGAATCCCTGGAGTTTCTGATTCAGTAGGACTGGGGAAATCAAGAATTTTCGTTTCTAACCAATTGCCAAGTGATGCGGATGCTGTTGGTGTGGAGCTCGTACTTGGAGTACCGCTGCCCCCGAGCAGTTGTAGCCAGAGTCAGCGGGAGAGCCCAGAAGAGTAAGGACCGGCACTGGAGCGCCCCCTGAGCATCCCCAGTGGCTTCATCCTTAACTTACAGTGGTCCCTAAGGCATGTAACCTCTAGTAGAGTTAATTTTCTGTTGTGAAATGCATTTTTTTTTTTTTTTTTTTTTTTTTTTTACGCGGGCCTCTCCCTTCTGTGTCCTCTCCCGTTGCGGAGCACAGGCTCCGGACGCGCAGGCTCAGCGGCCATGGCTCACGGGCCCAGACGCTCCGCGGCATGTGGGATCCTCCCGGACCGGGTCATGAACCCACGTCCCCTGCATCGGCAGGTGGACTCTCAACCACTGCGCCACCAGGGAAGCCCGTGAAATGCATTTTTAAGCCTCTACTCACAGACTGCACGTGCAAAAAACTCCAGAGGCCTCTAGGTGTGTTAGGGCTCATTTGGTTTAAGTGACAGAAAGCCTGGCTCCAGTTGAAATAAACACAAATACATTGCAAAATAAAAACAAATATATTGGTTCCAAAAGCGAGAAGTCTAAACCTGGCTTGATCAGGGCTCGAATGATGTCACCAGGACCAATTTCTCTTTCTCAGCCCCTCCTTTCTCGTGCTCTGTCTCCTCTCTCCCTTTCTCCTTCGCATAGTCTCCTTCGCATAGAGCCCTTTTCACTGGGGTCTAAAGAAGGCTACTGAGGCAAAAGGCCTGGCAAATTCTTACATTAAAATCTTTCCCAGGATTCCCAGCCAAAATCACATTCCTGTGATCGCTTCTCATGGACACAAATTGAATCAAGCCCTCGCGCCGAACCGAAGAGGAAAATGGCAATTCACGTTAGGCTGACATGGCGTACTCCACTCTTGACCCCCAGACGAATCGCAGGCGTTTGGAAGGGTTCAGGTGCATGGATTATGGGCCTCCCCAGGCCATCAGGCAACACTGCATTTGCCTCCCTCCTTGGACCACTTTTCTCCTGGCTTTCTTGATTACATACTTTCCTTGCCCTCCTCCAACTTCAGTCTGCCTTTCAGGATCATCTTCTTGTGCCACTTAAATCCAGGTGTACATCAAGGATTTTTCCTTAGGGCTCTTTTTGTTTTATGTACTTTCCAGGATGCCATCCACGCTCTTGCTTCTAAATACCACCCCAAGGCAGTTGATTCCCAAATGTATATCTCCATTCATGGAATATGGCAGAATAATGGTCCTCCAAAGATGTCTACATCCTAACTTCCATAACCTGTGGCCGTGTTACATCACATGGCAAAGGGGGATTACAGCTGCTAATCAGCTGACCTTGAGATAGGAAGGATATCCTGGATTATCCAGTGGACCCAATATCCTATAAGTAAAAGGGTGAGACAGAAGACTCAGTGCCAGACTGGTGTGATGTGACAAAGACTCCACTGTGGTTGAAGATGGAGAAGCGGCCACAAACCAAGGAATTTCGGCAACCACTAAAAGTGGGAAAAGCAAGAAAATGTGTTGTCATGTGTGTTACCTAGGACCCCAGAAAAGCCCTGACAACACGTTGATTTTAGCCTAGTGAGACCTGTTTTGGAATTCTGACCTCCAGAACTGGAAGTGCATAAAGTTGTATCATTTTAAGCCATGAAGTTTGTGCCAATTAGTTATGGTAGCAATAGGAAACTAACACAGATTTTAGTCTATTGATTCTCAAATAGATATCTCCATCCCAGATACTTTACATGGCAAAGATGTTTTGAAGCCAGCATATGTGGCAAAATTGCATCTAACTAAAAATACCCTTGAGAATTCCTTAAATCATTCACAAAATATACAAGGATTTTTCTATACATGCATGTACAGTAACATATGTGTACAAATGCATACTGAGTTTGGCTTGTGCTTAGTGGTACGTTACTAAAGCAATGTGTCTT